TGGGGACTCCCCGTCCTTCTGCACAGCCTCAGCCCGTGGCAGCCACAGCTCACAGGCCGCGTCGGCTTGGCCTCTTACCTGGGCGTTGCTCCCCCAGCAAAACCGGGGTGGGCTGTGAACCCCAGGCCGGCTCCACCGCGTCTCCGGTGCGCTCGCTCCCCACACCGGCAGAAGCTTCAAGGCGGTAGCGCGGATGCTGGCCTGCTGCCTCAGTGCTGCCCCCAATGGCGGCCAGGGGGAGGCACTTAAAGGGGCCGCGCCGCGTGGGGGCTGTGCTGGCCTGTGCGCGCAGGCTTCCCTTTGGGGCTGAGCCAGGTCAGCAGGCTGGCGAGTCCTTGCAGGGCCCCAAGCAGAGGCCCTGGTGTCGGAACCAGGCCGGTGTTAACTGGGAGCAACCCTGCACCCCACCAACCCCCTCCAAGACAGGATGGAGCCTCTGGTACGCATGTCCTGACTGGACCTGGGCAGGAGCAGATGGGCGGCCCCCTGCCCCACAGCCTCTCCCCAGGCACCTTCCTCTTTGGCGCTAGACACACCAAGTCTCGCCAGGCACCTAGGGCCAGATGGACAGCTCATCTCTTGGTGGGGGTCCAGCCAGCGTGGGTGGCCACTGCCCACTCTCTACAGAGGTCTGCGTGTGGTCAGCGTGGGTGACCAGCATGGGTGGCCGCTGCCTACTTCCACAGGGAAGGTCTGCGTGTGGTCAGCATGGCCACTGCCTACTTCCACAGGGAAGGTCTGCGTGTGGTCAGTGTGGGTGGCCGCTGCCCGCTCTCCACAGGGAAGGTCTGCGTGTGGTCAGCGTGGGTGACCAGCGTGGGTGGCCGCTGCCTACTTCCACAGGGAAGGTCTGCGTGTGGTCAGCATGGCCACTGCCTACTTCCACAGGGAAGGTCTGCGTGTGGTCAGCATGGCCACTGCCTACTTCCACAGGGAAGGTCTGCGTGTGGTCAGTGTGGGTGACCAGCGTGGGTGGCCGCTGCCCGCTCTCCACAGGGAAGGTCTGCGTGTGGTCAGTGTGGGTGACCAGCGTGGGTGGCCGCTGCCCACTCTCCACAGGGAAGGTCTGCGTGTGGTCAGCGTGGGTGGCCGCTGCCCACTCTCCACAGTGAAGGTCTGCATGGGTGACTACCGTGGTGGCCGCTGCCCACTCTCCACAGGGAAGGTCTGCATGTGGCCTATGCGTGTCAGACAGCCACATCCCTACTCGGGCCTGGCAGCTCCCTGTCCAATGTGCTGAACCTCGGGCCTTTCTAGGCTGCAAGGTGGGCTGAGGGCCTCAGCTCTGAAGACAGAGCCTGCTGAGGTCTTAGCAGAGCCATGGGCTGTGAAGACGGCCTGTGGGGCCTGGCCCCCAGCAGTGACCCTTGACTCCCCCCCCATCTGAGGTGAACGTTGAACGTTCTGGAGTTGGCTCCGGCCGCAACCAGCAGGCAGCACAGCAGCAGGCCGCCCCCGGCTGGCTCCCGGCGCCCGGAGGGTTCTCATGGCAACATGCCTGCGGTGGGCGGGGCACTGCTGGCATGGGAGCCCAGGAGACACCCTGCTGCCCAGGGGCAGGGAGATGGTGTGGCGTGCCACATGCTCTTGGTCCGGGCTGGCTGCCTACCTTCAGAATAGGCAGGGAAGAGGCTCTCGGGCCGGATGCAGGGAACCTGGGCTAAAGGAGAGCAGGCCAGTCCCGCCCAGGCAGGATGGACAGAAAGGACGAAAGAATAGACACACAACTTGGTAAAACCCAAGAGCTTTATAGTCTGGGTGGAGTGTCTGCGAAGGTGCCTCCCTGCGCCAGCCTGGCTCTTCCCATGAGACCGACAGAGCCCCTTGCGGGACAGGAGCTGCTGCGGGGGCCTTGCCGGCCTCTGCCAGGGCTCACCTGTGCTCCGGAGCTGGGGCTCCACCGCCCAAGCCACTGGTGGGAAGCAGAGCCTTGTGGGCATGCTGGGCCCTGGGACAGCTCGGGAGGGCAAGCAGGTGCGGGGCTGGGTGGTGGACATCTGAGAAGCCAAGCAGCCCCGCGCCATCTCTGTAAACAGACCCTCTGGGGTCCCTCCTCGGCCTGACACATCCCTGAGAAACGCTGGGGACTGGCTGCATTCTGCCTGGAGGGCCAGGTTGGTCCACCAGGCCACCTGCGGCCCAGCTGTCCCCTCCCTCCCTGCAGAGCAGGCTCCGGCTGGGTGGAGGCCCGGCACGCGCAGTGCCCGGCCCCTGGGCCTGACCCCCAGAGCTTGGCCTCGGGTCCTGCCCAGCATGGAAGTGAATGCAAAGTGGATCAGGCCACATGGGGACAAAGACAGTGGCTGGAAGGAGGTGGCAGGACCGCGGGCAGGCTGGTCAACTGCCAGGTGCAGGCCTAGAGTTCTTCATAGTCCCCACCCCCAGGGTGGCGGTTGCTGGGCGCCCCGCCCCCAAGGAAGGCCTCCAGCTCGTCAGCGGCCTTCTGCTCCTTGCTGCGAGTTGGCTTCCTTTTTCTCTTCCGCTCCTCCTTGCTCTCCTCCTTGTCCTTGCTCTTCTTATGTTTGCTTTTCTTCTTTGCAGCCTTCTCTTCCTCCTGGGAGCATGAAGAGGGGCGTCAGAACCACTAGGAGCCACCAGGAGGTAGATCCCAGGCCTGCCTGCAGGGCAGGAGAGGTTGGGACTGGTACCTCTTTGCTCTTCTTCTTTTTCTTTTTCTTCTCCTTAGAAGGTGGTTTGCCGTTCTTATCTGCATGGGAAAGATGCCTTAGCTCTGCCTGCAACGCCTTGCACAGGAAAGGCGCAGGCTTCTGCAGATGCCCCACGCCCAGCCTGCTTGGTCACACGGGAGCCCTGGGGTCCCAAGCACTCTAGCTGAGGTGCCTCAGTGCCTTCCTCTCCATTTGGGCCAAGACCCTGCGGGGCACTCCTGAGTTAAGCTGCTGGTTGGAGCAGAGAGCTAGTCATAGCCCTAGCCTGCTGTCAGAGAGAAGAGACTGGGAGATAGGACAGGACGGGGGGCACTGCTAGCTGGAAACTGGGCCAGGATGGGGGTGCTGCAGCTAGCTGGGGGCGGGCCAGGATGGGGGTGCTGCAGCTAGCTGGGGGCGGTCCAGGATGGGGGCGCTGCAGCTAAGCTGGGGGGCAGGCCAGGAAGGTGGCGCTGCAGCTAGCTGGGGGCGGGCCAGGATGGGGGCGCTGCAGCTAGCTGGGGGGCGGGCCAGGATGGGGGCGCTGCAGCTAGCTGGGGGCGGCAGGCCAGGAAGGTGGCGCTGCAGCTAGCTGGGGGCGGGCCAGGATGGGGGCGCTGCAGCTAGCTGGGGGGCGGGCCAGGATGGGGGCGCTGCAGCTAGCTGGGGGCGGGCCAGGATGGGGGCGCTGCAGCTAGCTGGGGGACAGGCCAGGACGGTGGCGCTGCAGCTAGCTGGGGGCGGGCCAGGACGGCGGCGCTGCAGCTAGCTGGGGGACGGGCCAGGACGGCGGCGCTGCAGCTAGCTGGGGGGCGGGCCAGGATGGGGGCGCTGCAGCTAGCTGGGGGACGGGGCCACACGCACTCCTGGCTGCAAACCATTCCAGCCCACCAACAAGGTACGGCTGAATTCAGAGCGAGTGCTCAGCGAGCCAGCTGCCACACACCCCTCGTGTGGACCTTCATTTGGGCAGCATCTCGAGCTGCTCAGCCCTCCGGCCGGTCCTGGCCTAAGGCCCTTGACACCTAAAAGTGTGGGTGCTGACGTCACAGCTGGCTCAAGCAACAGGAGAGCAACAGTTTAAACTTCTCCAGAGTCTATTCTGTGGGGCAGTCTCGGTCCTGGACAAAGCTAGAAGGTGCTCTGGAGGCAGCCAGGGCCGACAGCCAGCGTAAGGGAAGAAGCGGCCTTCCAAACAGAATGAGGGGGGATAGGGAAAGCGGAAGGAAAGTAGGACAGGGGTAACGCTGTTACAAGACATATGTGCTCAATGCCTTCCTTATGTAACCGTAACCCCCCTGTACATCACCTTTACGGTAACATAGAAAGGAACGCCGGCTGCGGGGCGGGTGGGGCTGTGGGGCAGGGCGGGGCCTACCCACCTTCCTCACTGCTCTCCTTGGGTTCTGTCTCTTCCAGGCCCAGCCCGAAGAGGTCAGAGTCATTCTTCAGTCTGAAGGAGGGCATGGGGGGCTTGGGGGGCAAGGGGAGCTGGGCAGGGCCTGCATCTTCATCGGTCACGTCAGAGAGGTCTTCTCTCACGGGGAACTCATCCTGGAGAGGGAGCGGGAGGTAGTGCCGCTGTCCCTCCCCACCCCATGGGACTCCCCTCAGAGGATCCTGCAATCTGCGGGGCTGTCACACCTGGCCGGGGCTGGCCAGGACAATTAGCAGGACTTACATACTCACGGACCAAGGGACACCATGCGCGCCAGTACCTTCCCCTCAGTCTCCCACCTGGGGAGCCCTTAGCCCTCCTGCCTAAGACCCAGAGTGTCTAGGCCTCCTGGCGGCAGCCCGTCCTCACCCCTCTCCGCTGGGCGTCTGACTCTTCACTCTCAAAGTCTGGGTCATCCATGACGAAGGACAGCATCTGGGCAGCAATGGGCCCTTCGAGGTCACTCTCGGATGACGACGCCAGCTTATCCTTGCCTTCCTGGGGCCGGTGGGCGCCCTCTGTGGGGGGTCTGGTGCTGCCCAGCTCGGGCCCTGGCTGTGCAGGGCGTCCGCCTGGCCGGGGCGGTGCTTCTGCGTGTGTGGGAGCTGCCTTCTTTTGCAGCTTCGCAGCCTTGGCGGAGGAGCTGCAGGGCAAGCAGAGGGGTTGAGGGCTTCACCGCCGCCACCCCAGGCTGCCCCCTCCTCCACCCCCGGCAAGCCCCAGGAGTATGGAGACTGCCTGGGTACCGTTTCGTTTCCGGCTCTGAACATGGCTGGGGAGCCAGGGCAACACCTGCAGGGTGACCTGTGGCCACCTCCGTCTCCTCCTCGCTGGAGAGACTGATGTTCTTACTGGGGACAGGGGCCGAGGGCTGGGGTTTGCTGCCAGGCTGGTCTTCGAGGTCCACATCATCCTGGAAACCTGCTACCATGGGGTTCCCTCCCAGGGCCTCCCCGTCACTGCAAAGGAAGGGCAGCAGTCACCAGAGCGGTTCTGTGCTGCCAGCTTCCCGGCCCCTGCCAGGGGCGCTGTCCTGCTTGGCACTACGTTCCTGTGTGGAAGGTTCTCTTCACAGGAGTGGAGCTGTGCTGAGGGAAGTACGGAGCTCCATGGAGGGTAGCGCTGACGCCGGCCATGGCGCGATCAGGGGAGGGGAGGGGAGCCTGGCCCAAAGGCCTCCATGCGTTATTCTGGAGGGCATTTTGGAAGGGAAGCATCTCAGCCCACAGGACATGGTGACACTGGAGATGCCCATCTGAGAGGCCATCTGCCAGGCAGGAATGACACCTAGACTCCACCTCAAGCTCAGCTACTCTCACTCAAGTGTTCAGTGGACAGGGAGACAGAACAGTCAACATCAAGAGGCCAGCGCCCAGGAAAGGGATCCCATTCCCTGCTCAGATCTGGGGGCAGGAAGCAAGGCCTGGTGTTTTCTCAGAGACCGGGAGCTTCTCTGTCAGGACCCGCCCCGTGGGCTTGTCCAGACACTGACTCTCCAGTGGACCCAGGACATCAGCCTCTACTCAGAGCTATCTGGCAGGCAGCCACCCCAACTGTCCCAGGGTGGCTAGTGGCCTGGTGGTGAGTCTGGGCAAACCTCGAGACACACCTGAGCCCTTCCTTCAGCTCCTCCAGCCACAGCTCTGCTTCTGTCCTCTGTGGTGAGAGGCTCCATCCTACTGGATGTGCTGGCCACCGGGCCGGCGTGGAGGCCCACCGAGCATGGTCCTTACCTGTCGCTGTCCTGCTGGGGCGCCTTGGCTCCTGCCTTCTTCTCCTCCCTAGGCAGGGTGGCGTCTTCCAAGAAGCCCCGGTCAAGGCTGTCTTCGGGAACAAACTCCTCAACGTTCTGAACTCTCTCTAGGGCTTCTGTCGCCTGGGCCGACTCTGTTGACGGCAGAGGCTGGTTCCTCCTCCCGCGGCACCTGACCTCAGCACACCTCTGTTCCCCAGCCAAGACCTCCCAGGGAGGAGCCCCCAGAACAGACTGCAAAGCCCACAGTGGCTCAGGTGCCCTGGCTGTGGGGTACGGGCCACAGGACCAGCCTTCAAGACACACCAGGTCCAAGGTGCCAGGGAGCCACACACCACACAAGGCCACCTTGCCAAGGGTTACTCCCAGGCTCACCTGGAGGCGAAGGGCCGCCATCTGCAGCCGGTGAGGTCCCAAACAGCCGGGAGATAAGGCTGCGTCTCGGGGCGGGGGCGGTGGGGGGCAAGGCCTCCATGGGAGGGGCGGGGGAGGTGGGCAGTGTGGGGGGGCCGGCGGACGGGGTGCCCAGGGGCAGCTGGGGCGTGCTGGGACTGGAGCTCCCAGTGGAGACGGCAGTCAGAGGCACGACTGGCGACTGAGAGCCGGAGGATGGGCTCTGCCCGTTGGCTGCCAAGGGGGAAGCGTGGCCGCGGCTGCGCGCCTCCATCATCTCAAGGAAGCTGAGGGAAGGCAGGCAGAGGCAGGAGTGAGGCCCCGCTCCCCAGGCCGCCTGCGCCCTCGGGAGAGCTGTGCCGCCTGCCTCCCACTATCGGCCTCTGCTGCCCAGCTGCCAGACGGCACCTGCCCTTCTGCCGGAGAGGCCGAGGCCCTGGTCTCCTCCTCTGGCACCGCCCCGAGGACACGCAGGCTCCACAGGGACAGGGAGCCGTGGCCACTGCCAGAACCCACCAGGACCAGCAGCCGGCTGGAGCGTGCGGCTTGTTCTGTGGGATGCGGTGTCAGGGCTCACGCACGGCAGCTGCCCATCCACACCTCACAAGGCTGGGTCCTCGCACACCGTGCTGTGGTCCTGAAGGCCGTTACAGAGGCTCGGAGTGCTGGGGAGTGGGAGTGTGGCCTGGCCAGGGTGTGCCCGGCCACCACAGCTCCGCTTAGTAGTTTTCAGCCACTTGCTCTATTCAAGGGCCGATCTGACTAAATACTGAACGACTGCACATTAATAATAAAAAGCCTCCACAGGTGACGCAGCATGGTGGCTGTCCCAGGGGACGCGTTCCCACCGTGCCGTGCCGTGCTCTGCCCGTCTCACCAGCAGGGATGCACGGGCAGGAGGGGGTAGCACCCCCCTGCTCTGAGGGCCGGGGTGAGACAGGGCATGGGTGTCCCCAGACGGCGCCACGTACATGCTGTAGTTCTGGTCCTCAGTCTCCTGCTGCACCGACAGCTCCTCCAGCGTGGCATCAATGTCCAGCTGGTTTGTCTCCAGCTGCCGTAGCAGGGTCTCCCTCTGGAAAGGGAGAGGACATGGATGAGCAGCATGCCTCCCCCACCCATGTACAGCCCTCACGCCGCAGAGGGAGGTATGTGGGGCCGAACTGCTTGTGTGTCCACAGGGGACGGGCCCGGTGGCTCAGAAGACACATCCCTAGAAAGGCAGCCCCTTCCGTCACAAGGAGATGCTGGAGTTTTAAGAAGCCCCGGTGTCTGGACAGTAGCTCAGCCCCGCCTACTGCTGGCTGCGGCAGCCACCCAGGCCCAAGCCCGATCGTGGTCACTTGTGCATCCACAGTCCTGGAAACACCCGGCTGCTTCAAGGAAGACTGCCAACCGAGGCTTAGGCTGAAGATCTGAGTCTGGGTCAGGCTGCCACTGCGGCTCCTGGTCAATCTGGTTTCTTACATTTAGACTCAAAAAACAGGTGTCCTTTTGCAGGTCAATGGTACTGAACTCAGGGCTTGGGAGCTGTCCCTGAGCTTCTTTTGCTCCTCAAGGCTGGAGCTCTACCACTTGAGCCACAGCACCCCTTCTGGCTTTTCTGGTCATTTACTGGAGCTGAGTCTCACGGATGCTCCTGCTGGGGCTGGCTTTGAACCACAATCGTCTTATCTCAGCCTCCTGAGTAGTTAAGATGACAGATGTGAGCCTGCAGTGCCGAGCTTAGGCTCAAGTTTTAGACCGAATGCCACAGCCTCAGTTACAGTGGCTACCGAGGCTGTGGCCAGGTGTGTGGTGGTGCCAAAGGACTGAAGCGGCCTCCATGTGGGCCTGCAGCTGCTGCTGGTGCAGAAGTGGGGCTCAGCAAAGCTGTGGGATGGCCACAAAACCACACTGGGGTTTTGGCAGAGAGTAAAAAAAGCAGCAACTACAGATCAAAGAGACCTGGGATTTATGTGAGAGAGCCACGGCATGGCACAGTGCAGGTCAACTCGGGGACCCCGAGGGAAGAAGCAGGCGTGTGCCGACAGGCAGGCGGGGCTTCACTTCTGAAATAAACATGAGATCTGAAGAGATAGCTAGTCCCAACTACCAAATGCAAAGCGTGAACCCAGCTCAGACCCTATTCTGCACACGGACTGAATACCTTCTGGTGTGAAGAATTCTTTAAATCTTAAGGTGTACAACGTATAAAAACAAACCGTGAAACCTGCTGAATCTGCGGGGGTGGGGGGGGGTGAGGGGATGCGTCTGGCGGGGCACGGGGCGCACTGTACCCACTAATGGAGATAGCTCAGTGAAGCCCCTTGTATGACTAGCACATGCTAACTCAAAATGGAAAAATGACCTGCGAGATCAGGGACCCTATCACTATGTATCAAAACTGTGCCCATCTACACGTAGTTTTTATCAATTAAAAACGAGACGAATGTCATCCCCGTGTCTCCTGTCTGCTCCGGTCCCATCCCCTGGCTCTACTGTCACCAGGCGTCCCGCTCAGCCCCCAAGCAGAGCTGATCTGGGTTGTTGGCATTGTTTTTCTGCTCTTTCTTTCCTCTCTGGCTCTCATGGCTGTTTTCTGACTGTGTTAAGTGTGGTCACGGGGCTGCAGGCCTTTGTGGCAGGAGTCCGCCCGCATTGGCCAGCTTTCCAATGAAGACTCCTCATGTGAAAACAAACAAAAAACTAGCTGGGCATCAGTGAGTGCTCACACCTGTAATCCTAGCTACTCGGGAGGCTGAGATCTAAGGATCACAGTTCAAAGCCACCCCAAGCAGGAAAGTCTGTGAGATTCTTACCTCTAATTAACCACCAGAAGTGGATATAGTACTGTGGCTCAGGCTCAAAGTGGTAGAGCACTACTAGCCTTGAGCAAAGAGGGACAGTCCCTAGGCCCCAAGTTCAAGCCCCATGACTGACAAAAAAACCAAACAAACAAAAAGCTGGGTGCCAGTGGCTCACTCTAATCCTGGCTATTGTGGAGGCTGAGATCTGAGGATCATGGTTCAAAACCAGCCTGGGCAGGAGGGTTCATGGGCCTCCTCTCTACAATTAACCACCAAAAAGCTGGACATGGTGGTGGTTCAAGTAGTAGAGCACTAGCCTTGAGTGGAAAAGGGATGGCATCCAGGTCTGGAATGTAAGCCCCCAAACCAGGACAGCAGCAGCACAGACTAAAAGCAGATTGTCACTCCTTTTACCGCAGCAGTCTTTGCAAAGGCCCCCCCGCACCAACCAGCTGGCCTTGCACCTCTGCTGTCTCCTGCCTCGCCCTCCCGAGTGCCGGGCTCAGGGACAGACACGTACCACCATGGCCAGCTCTAGTCTTGGTTTTTAGAGGTGTCTGTATAAAACTAAGGAACATCGTGCTTTCCTTCTAGAACATCCAGAACAGGCAAGAGACAAGAGGGCAGCCGGATACCAATCGCTCTGCCAACGCAGACCATGGGCTCTGATCTCTGCACATATCCATTACAGGAGGAGGCCACGGCGGTCCTGGCTCCAGGGCTTTTCTGGCGCCCTGCTCCTTTCCCTTGGAAGCCTGCAGCAAAGCATCCATGGAGTGGCACAGCTGAGCGCCGTCATCGCCACGGTGAGGTGAGCAGAGGCCTCCCTGGTGGGGGCACTTTAAGACCCCATGGTCTTGTCCTCAGTACAGCCCCATGTCTCTCAAATGGAAAAAGACACAAGGAAAGGGAAAGCTTTGCTTTCCTAAGTTCCGTGTCCTTCTGTGGAAGGGCTACAGGTTCCCAGATGCAGGCTGAAAGCCCAAGTCTGTTCAGCCTTCCTCCTGTCTACTAGCAATTCTACACCAGGCTCCCCTGCTGTCTTAGCCCTCTGCCCTTAGCTCCATGGAGCCTCATCTTTCTCATGGTCTGTCCCACGGTGGCTGAAGCCCAGAGTTCATGTGAAGTACAGCAGGGAACATGCCACGGCTCCTATCCTGTCTTTGTGGTCTTCTGTCCAAACCAAAGCTTCAGTCTCATGGGATATGTCAGTTGAATCCAAGTAGGGGGCAGATGAAATTACCCACCACGTCACCATAAGGAGGCAGGGTGATAATTCATGGAGGTAGGCTCCTGAAGTGACCCTGGGCAGAGAAGGTCTGGATGGATCCTTGACCCTAATTCTCTGGCCTTGAGAAAACAATGTGGAAATATGAGACCTTGGGGGGGGGAGGGGGAGAGGAGGAAGGAGATGGGCGAGGATGCAGAGACTCTGTACATTTCCAGTTTCTTTTTTTTTGTTGTTGTTGGTCATGGGGCTTGAACTCTGGGCCTGGGTGCTGCCCCTCAGCTCTTCAGCTCAAGGCTAGCGCTCTACCACTTGAGCCACAGAACCACTTCTGGTTTTGTGGAGGTTTATTGGAGATAAGAGCCTCACGGACTTTCCTGCATGGGCTGGCTTTGAACCGAGATCCTCAGATCTCAGCCTCCAGAGTAGCTAGGATAACAGGTGTGAGCCACCGGCACCCGGCCCATCTCCACAATTTTTAACAAGATGACTGCTCACAGGCCAGAACCTCACCCTAGCAAGTTGCCCTATTCCCTCGTCTGTATCAGGAACGCTGGGTACCCTGATCATGCAGCCTGCATCTAGTCCAACAAAGGAGCCAAGGGCCGGCTGGCCCAGCACTGGAGGATGGAGTCAGGGCCATGGGGGTTGCATGTTCTGGACAGCCCCAACTGGCAGCTCAGTTTAACTGGGCAACACCCACCTGTGCATCTTACATGCTTTGCTGCCACCAACAGCCCAGAAGCACAAGGCTCCACCCTTGCAGGGGAAGCCCTCCTTATCAAGAAGTAGGCCTGGGGCTGGGAAGGTGGCTCAGTGGTAGAGTGCTTGCCTAGCATGCATGAGGCCCTGGGTTCAATTCCTCAGCACCACATGAGCAGAAAAAGCTGGAAGTGGCGCTGTGGCTCAAGTGGTAGAGCGCTAGCCTTGAGCTGAAGAGCTGAGGGACAGTGCCCAGGCCCAGAGTTCAGGCCCCACGACTGACAAAAAACCAAAGAAGTGGGCCTGTCACCCACTCTCTGCCTCTTGCTGACTGCTCTGCATGCCACCTCCAAAGTCCTCTGGGCCCTTGCTGGTGGCCAGCTTTCAAGCAGACATCACAAATGACCTTTTCAGGGCTCGGAGAGGAGGCCTGTCCTCCGGAGACAGGGAAGAGTGCCAGCAGCCTTCGTGCCTGGTGTGGCCAGAGCTCACCTGCAGCTGCAGGAACGGTATATTGAAGAACTTATGCAGGTACTTTAGGCCGAAGCTGTTCTTCATGGAAGACTCAGCGTAGCGGAAGTAGGAGGAGCCTGGAGGTCTGTTTTCAGGAGAGATTTAAGGGGAAGGCTCCTGGTGGGCAGCTGGCTCAGCCTCTCCCAGGCCTGAGGCTGCCAGTCCACTTGCCCCTTCCTCCAATAGGCTCTAGAGAAGCGAACACAGCCTTCCTGCCTGGGGTGGCCTGCGGAGCTGGACCGGAGCCGCTGACCCGGCACACTGCTCCGCTCACACCTCACAGCACCACCATTCACAGGGAACTAAGACTTCCTGGCTCCCTGGCTCCCAGCATCTCAGATCTCTTGGAGCTGCTCACTAGGGTCTGTGACCGCTCCCCGCTCTATCCCAACTCAGGTGTGGCTTCTGCCTTGGCTGCCCACGTTCACCTGTCCTCTCCGCCCCACCCAAAATGGGGGCCCCCATGCAAGGGCTGAAGCACCCACCTGTCCAGGTGGTCGATGAAGTCACGTACGTCGTCTGGCAGAATGACTCGGTGCTCACCCATGTCCCGGTAGTTGCCCAGCACACACACTGGAACGTGGGTCGGCACCTTGGGCAGCTCCCGGAGGACGTAGTTGAAGGTCCTTGGGAGGGAAGGGTATCTTAGCCTCCCGTGGCCCCAGGGGACTGCCTTTCCTGTCTGAGGTCCAACTTGCTAAGCCCACAGTGATGCCTCTAGTTATTTTGCCTCTCGCTCTAGATACTGGGGAGGTGGAGAAGGGGATCAAGGTTGGCGGCCAGCCTAGGCACACATGGAGTCAAAGACTCCATTTCCACTGGGTGCTGTGGTGGTGCCTGTCAGTCTGAGCCAGGGGAGAAACACAAGTAGGAGAATCACCGTCTAGGCCAGTCGGAGCAAACAGTGAGATTCAATCCTGAAAACAACAGTGCAAAAGCAGTAGCAGAGTGGCTTAAGTATGGAAGCTCAAGGCCCTGGGCTCACACCCTGGGTGGCTGACTTCCTAAGAGCAGGAATCACCACCACCATCAGGGCTTAGAGAAGTGAGTAACGCCACCCCGGCATGTTAACATGGTGCCTGTACCAAGCCCAGGTGCCCCACTTCTCTGCCTCTCTTTAGGGTGCCTGTGTTTACCCTCCCTCCAAAAGCACCCCCTTTCCACACTGCCAGTACCACACTGGATTGAAACGTCTCCTGGGATCCTTGCAGAGTGTCCTGCTCAGTGGCTCTTGGTGTGTAGACACCATCATGGAGGTGTCCTCCTGACACCAAGGTATCCTGGAGGCAGGTGAGCTTGGCGCTGCCCTGAGCAATGATCCACAGCATGTGGCGGGGGGCGGGGGGGCAGGGGGAGACAGGCAAGGCTCTCCAGGTCTCACCTACCATGGGCAGCCAGCCCTTGCTCTGTGTGTGTTCATCCTGAACATTCTCAAAAGGCTGGCACAGACACAGCCAACTGTGGTGGTGATGCAATCTGCAAATCCAGTGCTCAGGGAGGCCAAAGCCCAAGTACGAGGTCAGCCCAGCCTATAGAGACACCAGTGACGCAGCCCGCCTTCCCCATGGAGAAAGTGGTGAAAACACGTGTCTAACTGTGGAGGCCTTTTGTCTTCTAGCTTCTTCTCCTGAGGGCATCTCCTCCATCTTTTTTGTCTGTCATGGAGCCTGAACTCTGGGCCTGGGCGCTGTCCCTCAGCTCTTCAGCTTAAGGCTAGCGCTCTACAGCACCATTTCATGTTTTCTGAGTGGTTTATTGGAGATAAAGAGTCTCACAGCCTTTCCTGCCCAGGCTGGCTTTGAATCACGATCCTCAGATCTCAGCCTCCTGAGTAGCCAGGATTATAGGTGAGAGCCACCAGTGCCTGGCTCCTCCATCTTCTTGACCCAGGAGCCATCCTGAAGCCTACTCACTGGTGTGACACAGTCACAGTGTGAGGCGTATTTTCTTCCTTTCCATGAACACTTGGACTCTGGAGAGTATCAGCTGCTGCCCAGTCCCAGCCTGACCAAATGCACTAATGTCCAGGCACTGGGAAGCTGCTGCAGCCCTGGTGCTCTGGGCCTACCCTGCCAACAGGCCCTCAGTGACCTTCTCCCAGCTCAGTTCTCTTGGGAGCCATAAGGCCTATAAAGGCCCCAGGATCCTCAGTGCAGCTGAGGTGGCCCCTCAACGTCCACTGGACGAAGTTACTCTCCACTCACCAGGCCAACAGACCACCACCACCCATATGGGGAAACGCAAGTTCCTCTCCTCTGTACCTGAAACAGCTGCTCACGGCCCACAGCACAGGGTTACGTTCTGTGGCTAGCTTGCCACTAGCACTCCCTGGAGGGCCCCTGAACATGTGGTAGGCCGAGTCTGGGCCTTTGGCAGGCAGAGGCTGGGGACAACCACACCAACCCAGACTGTGCCACTGAGGGCCTCCAAGTCCGTATCCCTCAGACCTGAGTTGATGACACATGCCAAGTGTAAGCTTCATCCCCAGGCTTATTCTATTCTGTGAACCTCTACAACACCGAGACATCTGCCCATGTCACATCATTGTGTTCTGTGTGCGCACGCGCGCTCGCACATACACGCTGTTATTAGCACTGGAACTCAGGGCCCTGGGCTCTTGCTTGGCTTTTTTGCTCATGGCTGGCACTGTGCCACTTCAAGGTAAGTGTCTCACCATTCTACTCAGGCTGGCTTCAAACTGGGATCCTTAAGGCCTTGGCCTCCTGGGTAGCTAGGACTATAGGTATGGGCCACCAGCATCTGGCTCACTTTGTTCTAAAATAAAGCAGTATGCCCACCTAGACAGGTGTAGCAAGATCCCAGTGTGCTTGTGCAATGCTGTAAGAAAATCTGGCGGCACCAGCCATCAGCTGTGTGGTCTTGATGACAGGACAGATTGTCTTCCCTTGCATTTACCAATTTTCTATGAATATGGATTACACATGCAATAATAATAATAAACTTTTAAAAGCAGAGTTGAAGCTACGCAAGCACCTCAAAGATCAATTCAGCATTTCGTCCTTGTTTGTTTTATCGCTACTGGGGCTTGAACAGTCTTGCACTTGCTTGCTAGACTGTGTTCTATCACTTGAGCCACATTTCAGCTAGATGAAGTAAAAGGACATAGTCTTTTCTATGGGGAAGGGGGCAGTATTAGAGCTTGAACTAAGGGCTACACTTGTTAGGCTGATACTCTACTGCTTGAACCACATCCCAAGCCCTCCTTCAGCATTTTGCTTTTTGTTTGGTCCGGTCATGGGGCCTGAACTCTGGGCCTGGGCGCTGTCCTCAGCTCTTCAGCTCAAGGCTAGCACTCTACCACTTGAGCCACAGCACCACTTCTGGCTTTTTTCTTTTTTGCTTATGTGGTACTGAGGAATCGAACCCAGGGCCTCATGCATGCAAGGCAAGCCCTCTAACACTGAGCCACCTTCCCAGCCCCATTTTTTTTTTAATGGGTTGTGGGGCTCAACTCTGGGCCTGGGCACTGTCCCTCAGCTCTTCACTCAGGGCGAATGCTCTACCACTTGAGCCACAGTGCCACTTCCAGATTTCTGGTGGTTAATTAAGAGTCTCACGGACTTTCCTGCCTGAGCTGGCTTTGAACTGAAATCCTCAGATCTCAGCCTCCTGAGTAGCTAGGATTACAGGCGTGAGCCACTGGAGCCATCGGTGCCCAGCTCCTTCAGCATTTTTAAGGGCCTTGTTTCCAGTGGTGTGCAGGAGGCATGACCTCAGGGCCGTGTGTCTAGGGGCATCTTCGTCCTGTGGCTGGTGACAGCAATGTGCCATTTCCTACTGGAACATCACACTTTAGGGGTAGGAGTTAGGTGGGTCCTGTGGGATCCCCAGAGGAGGCTCTGCACCACTGAGGCTCTAGTCTTAGCACCTCCACCCACTGCCCGCTTGGCTCTTGGTCCTTGGCCGCTGTGAGTCTTTGCTGTCTTCCTAGTAGACTACAGTCACTTGATTCTGCCCCGTCTTAGGACGGGGGTGGGGGTGGGGGCTGCTTGGTGTGCACCTTGCCAAGACCACCCCTTGCCACAGGCCTGAGCCATCAGTACCATCCTACCCTCTGCATAGGTACCAACTTGGGCCCATCCTGCCCCACGGTACAATGCCTGGGTCTAAGGCAGGGGCTTGGCTGCGCTACTCAACGCTAGCCCTGCAGCCATTGCCAGCTGCCTGTCCTCCTTACCACTGCTTGGTGATGTCGAACATCATGACCACCCCGTTACAGTTCTTGTACACATCCAGGAACTCCGCATCCAGGGCCATGTCAGACTCCGCCTGGGAGCAGGAGGGAAGAGGTGTAAGACCCTGTCCCAGCCATGTGGTCCCTCAGTCACCTGGAAAAAGCTGAATGGTACTTTTTTTTAGTAGGGGGGGGTGTGTGTGTGTCTGGTGGTGGGGCCTGAACTCTGGGCCTGGGCGCTGTCCCTCAGCTCCTCCACTCGAGGCGAGTGCTCTACCACTTGAGCCACAGCGCCACTTCTGGCTTTTTCTGCTCATGTGGTGCTGAGGAATGGAACCCAGGGCCTCAGGCATGCAAGGCAGGCACTCTACCACTGAGCCACCTTTCCAGCCTGGTGCCAGCTTTTGAATGGTACTTTACGAATCAAAAAGATAGCAATCATCTGTCTCATTTGGGAAAAGACAGGAAATGACACTGCTGGGTACATGGATCTGCCGGGTGCTGGGTGGGCAGCCTCTGCAGGGGAGGGCTGCCTCCCACAGACCATCAATGGTACAACGCCCAGGGCTTGTGGATTCCAACCATCTGCCAGAGGGATGGGAATGTGGCCCTTATTTGATGCTGAGGTGATTCAAAGGCAGTCTGATGGTGAGTCCACTACAGCACCTGCTGAGTGAATCAGAGCAGACATCTCACAGGGGACAATCACCGGGAATGCGCCTGAAGAACACTCAGCTCTGTTGCACAGCATCCCACGGAAAGCTGGGGATGCTCACTGGCCACATGTCTCTCGCAGGCTGTACAGGCCTGGAGAAGCCTAGGCTTGTGAGGGACCATAAGCAGCTCTGCCCAGGAGAGACACAGACCAGCCTGATGATGTGTGGCTCACCTCCTGTGGGTCGTTTTCTGTCTTCAAGCCGTCTCCTCGCTTTTTGCATTTTCCTAATTAAAAGACAAGCAGAAGCTCAGGAGCGACCTTTCTGAATTCCACAATTGCCTAGGGAAAGGGGGACCCCCCCCCATGCCTCTCATAGTGCCACTGATTGTGCTGGTTCACTCTGCCTTGGGAGACAGGAAAACAAAAAACAAAAACCCGGCCCTGAGGGCTGGAGGGAGTGCAGGGCAGACCCTGCAGGCCTCAGTGGCTAGAGCAGTTTGAAGCCAGGTCAGTTCTGCCATGGTGGAAAGGGGCCCTTTGCAACTGCCTGGTTCCCAGACCAAGTCCAGGTGAGTAGAGTAGTAGTGAGATGCAGCTCCCCTAGGGCAAAGGGGGAATAGCAGCGTTAGGAGGGAGGGGACCCCATCCTGGCTAGTGGTTATGATCGAGGCCAGCCCATGCTACACTTGTGACCAGGGGAAAGCCCTAGGTTCTGCCTCCAAGCTAATACTCTGCCTCCCTTTCCCTTCCTCCCTAGAATGCCAACTGGGCAGAAGAGGAAAGTCCCTCCAATAATCCAGGGCTCATGTATTTTTTTTTTTTTTTTGGGTCCGGTCGTGGGGCCTGAACTCTGGGCCTGAGCACTGTCCCTCAGCTCTTCAGCTCAAGGCTAGCACTCTACCACTTGAGCCACAGCGCCAGTTCTGCTTTTTTCTTTTTGCATATGTGGTGCTGAGGAATTGAACCCAGGGCCTCATGCATGCAAGGCAAGCGCTCTACCACTGAGCCACCTTCCCAGCCCCCAGGGCTCATGTATTTAAGACATCAATTTCCATCACTCCTGAACTCATTTCTGAACCACCCTCATGCTCTCACTGCCTGGAAGTGGGGCAGGAGCATTGAGGGGCCCAGCTCCACAGGAGCCGAAGCCCAGCTTGATCTTCAAGAGGTAGGGGCCTCCAGCCCACCTAGTTCCTTGCAAACTCCTCTCCAGCAGGAGGGAGAAACCAGAGAATATTAAAACTTGCTGAGGCTGCTCCCTTTCACCATCCCTTCCAGAAGCTTCTCAATACATATTCACAAGTTCTGCCTTCGCAAAATCTGAACCTGTCAGTCTTGCCTGTCCAGCCCCCTCTGTTCCACTGGCCTTGAGCCTCAAGCTGTCTCTACTGCGGTCCCCTGCTGCTGTGTTCAGCCCTCATCCGGGGGAGGGGGAAGGCAGAGGTACTTTCCTTTCCTTATCAATGTTTCTGTGTTTCAGCAACAGGGGTCACAGGGCTGTGTGGAGGCGACACTGCGCGGGGACCGACCCCTCCTGGGGTCAGTCAAGTGAGGCTGTTGGGGTAGACCTCACTAGGTGGGTGTGAGGAGGCAGTGATGGCCCTGGGGACCCTCTCCCCTGTCTATCCCAGACACAGAATGGGAAGGGGGCACTTCATAGACTCCTAGGCAGGGGAGGCTGGCCTATGCCTGCTGAGGGTACAGGACACCATCCACAAGTGATCTTCCTACGTGGAGTATGGCTCCCCACGACACTCAGCCCCAAGTCCTGACCCACTCTGGAAATCTTGTCCACGGGACAGTGCACTGTGGTCCAGCAGGTGCAGATCTGGGACAGAGCTGAGGCAGGGCTTGGAGATCTCTGAGCATCCAGGTCTTGGCCTCTCAAGGGACAGCAGCAGTGACGAGGGAGGACAGGGGTGGGGACCCGGGAAGGGGATGCAATGTGGGCAGAACCAAGGCCTCTGATGGCAAGCTACACTCCAAACGCTGTGTGTACACACACACACACACACACACACACACACACACACACACGGCACGCCTGCTGGGCCGGCCTTGCTAGCTGTACCCTGCTGCTGGAACTGCTGAGCCACATTGGCCTCACTGCTTTCTTATCAGCTGATGTTCACCCCCAACAGACCCCTACTGAACATGGACTGCAGAGAGGAGCAGGCACAACGCGCAGTGGAGAACACAGCATGAGGCACGTCACCTAGTGAGCCCTTCAACAGGTCAGCTCAGAGCATGCCTGCAAGGTCAGGTGATACACTGGCCTGACCAGATATGGCTCAGCACCACACACATGCATGTGTGCGCGCGCGTGCACACTTGCACGCACATGCACATGCACACACACAATGCTAGCAGCAGGGTGGGCTGTGAGCTCAACCCAAGGATCATAGAGGAACTTGTGATCTGATGTGAGAAGACAGGAATGGAATCAGATGCTGTTGGGGACACTGGGACACCCTGCTGTTGCCTGCGACAGGTTTTGGTGGGTCGGGGTGTCTGGGGGAGGGATGTCTACCCAGAAGTGAAGGAGCTGGATTTTCAGCTGTGAGTGCACAGGCCTGAGTCCTGGGTGCTGTAGTGGACTTTTGTCACTTGTTCTCAGGCAGAAGCAACGGTTCCAAGGCTCCTTAGTCCCTCTGCTTGGTGAGCACTCCTGAGGGAGACTACAGGGCCCACTGACTCCCATGCTGCAGAAGGCAGACACCAGCAGCCTTAGTGACAGCAGGGCCCCCACCAAACCCACCAACTAACACTCCTAGTGACACAAAAAGGGATAGGCTCAGGCACTCGCTCTGCCTTCTTTCTTGCTCCCATAATTCTTTGTTCCCGCTTCACCCGACTGGGGATGGAGGATTGATGTCTTCTCATTGTGTCCCTGACCAGGACTTGTAAAAGCCTTGTCACTTTCCTGTCCAGGTGGTGCATAGAATCTGCACCTTCCGTAAGAATACCAGGGTTCCCTTGTGCTGGGCTTTCCTAGTATAAGAGCTATGCTCGGCAGCCACAAACTGGCCCCAAGTCTAACAAGAACCACAAGGCCAGTGAAGATGGGAATCTGTGAGAGGAACCTCTGGTCATGGCATGAGGCCATCACCAAGTGCAGTAAGTATCTGGTGAGCAACCCTCTGGGAGCTTCTGGGACTTTCTCTGAAGTTCCCTTCATGCAGGCTGCCAGGATTTTCCAGGTGGCTGGGGTGCTCATGACCAGGGCTGGACTGACACCTGGAGAGTCACACCAGTGGTTGCATGGGAGGAGGGGCTCCTGTGTGGGCCAGGGCTGGGAGCTTCCTCACCCCACCCAAGGTTAGCTGGTCAGGACTAAACAGATGCGCAAAGCATCTGGGAGCTCCTGGGGACCCAGAACCTCAGCCAGGCTTAGAACAGAGCTGGCAGGGGCTGGACTAAGAAGCTGGGAGCTCCCCAACCCCTGTGGGGCAGCTGGGGCCTATGCCACGTCTCTGGGCCTCCCCAGACTGTGCAGTAGGTCCTATGTGAACACAGGACTCAAGGCAGAGAAGCAAAGACTGGAAGCAAGGGGCAGGTTCTATTTAGAGTGACTAGAGCATTCAAGAGAGAAAGGAAGAGGCACCTTACCTTTGTCCACTACATCCCAGACTTCAACTTTCACAACATCATCAGTGGCTGAAACAAGCAGAATTCTGGTTGGTGCTAATATACTCCTGGATTCCTACCCTATGTGGCTGGCTGCCCCTCCCCAGGACACCAGCTCCCTGGGTCCCTGTAGCCCACGGCCTCACTGGCAGCTTTCTACTGAGTGAGGCGGGGCTTCTCCTACTGGTCTCCACATGAACACTGGCCTGTGGGCAAAGCTGTTGCACAGCACCTCCACCACCCAGCATACCTGCTGGGTCCCCCGCAGGCTGTGGTCTCCCAGGCAGACACATATAGACAGACGTGCACACAGCAAGGCTGCCTGAGTCCCGTCCTCTTGAGCCCCTTTCCTTATCCTGCTGGCTCCCAGTTTACTCCTAGGAGCAAACTCAGGAGGTCGGGGCTGGTCACACAGAGCAGGCCCAGGAAGGCTGCAGCCACTGCTACTGATCCTGTGGCCTCTGTGCCTTGCTGCTCGCCCCGTGGTATTCTCCAGGGCTGCTGACCCTGCTCGCCCTGTAGTATTCTCCAGGGCTGAATATCCTACCGGTCCCGTGGTATTCTCCAGGGCTGTGGACCCTCTCACTTGCCTCATGAGAAAGGGGACCAGTGTTTGAGTTCTTGTGATCTTGCCTCTCTCCCTAGGTAAGTGGGAGCAGAGAGGCCTTAGAGCATAGTGGAAGCCCTAGAACATGGACGGTGGGCTGAACAGAAGTGGGGCTCAATGTCTCTCCATGTGCTGTCAGGGTCGGTAGGCAATACCCCCGGAGGTGTCTGGGAAACTGTAGTGTTTGGAGATATTTCCTCTCCTGTTCAACCACAGCTGTGGCTTCAACATTGAAAGGGAACTTCATGGATCTAAATCTATGAATTGGGGTGATTCAAAAGCAGCTTCTATGAATGAATGGTCCCCAAATAGCTCTGAACTCACCTAGGGACTCCCACAGTGACAGCCACTGTTTGCTCAGTCTGGGGAAAGCACCTCCTAGGACCCATGAGGGAGGGAAGGAGGGTAGAGGGGCAGGCAGGGCTGTACTGTGCTTTAGGGTCTGGGCACCGTGTGAGTGCTGGGAGGCTGAGGAGGTTGGGGCGCTGTACTGCACGCACCCCCAGTCCATGCTGTAGTGCTACATGCCTTCCCCTCCACTTACTCTTGTAGTTCCAGTGGATGCTGGTGACCTGGATCTCTTGAGTGGGGATGTACTCCTCCAGGAACTTCTTGCCCTGCAGCCGGTGCCACAGCGCAGTCTTGCCTGTGTTTCTGTCCCCCCGGATCACAATCTTCACTGGAACGAAAAAGGGCAAAGAAAAAGAAATCAAAACCACACTTCTAAGACATTGTCTGCTCTACCTCAACATGCTGTTTTCTGCAGCCATCTGGCAAGCATGGGGAGAGTGGACGAAGGGTGCCAGCAGTTCTTCACACGTCAACCCTGGCTGGCCAGATAGCTTCTTCCAAGGCCCAAGGGTACCTGACAACAAGCAGGCTGACACCAAGGACAGTGGGCAGACTTCTGAGCAGGAGGCTCCCCTGAGCATAGCTTTCCGATTTGTGGAAGAACAATCTCTCCCAGAGTCAGATGCGCTGGGAACCACGGACGACCCTCAGGTTAGGACCCGCTATGTGGAAGCTTTGACCTGCCCAACCTGAGTAAGACCCAGGGCAACATTCCAGGCCTTAATGGTCTGCTCTTTACTTTCCCCCACATCCTGGCAGATTGATTGATTGATCACATCCTAGGGATTATATTCAGGGCCTCTTGCTTGCTAGGCTTGTAGTATACCACCTGAACTACACCCCAACCAGGCTTTACACTGTTTATTTTTGTGCCAGTACTGGAGCTTAAACTCAGAAACTAGGTGCTATCCTCTAGCCTTTTAGCTCAGACTTGCACTTGAACTACACCTCCATTTCTGGCTTTTTGGTAACTAACTGGTAGTTAAGAGTCTTATAGACCTTCCTGCCTGGGCTAGCTTTGAATCATGACCCTGAGATCTCAGCCTCCCAAGTAGCTAGGATTACATAGCATGAGCGTCAGCACCTGGCTTTTGCTGGTTATTCTGGAGCTGAAGTCTCACAGACTTTCCTGCCTAGGCTGGCCTTGATTCTCAATGCTTGGGATCTCGGACTCCTGAGGCATCATGTACTTTTGGTACATGACTTTTAAGGAGGTTGTCTCTCAACTCACTGTGGGTGGGCTTGTGCTCTGGAGTAGGGTAGCGCCACCTTGTGTCTGAAAAGGGGAGGAACAGCAGTTTGGAGGTAAGGACCAGGTCAGCAGAGCCAGGAGCTCTTCAATCTGCCTGAGGCTCACAACATTTTCCCAGCTCTGTGACCATGAATGATTCAAATTCCCCAACAAACCATGCTTCATCATCCGAGTTGGGGGTGCATCTGACCTCTGACTTGGAGGAAGCATGACACATCTGGTGAGTGACACAGAGGGAAACAATGTCAAGAACGGGCCTGAGGTTTCTGGTGGTCTTGCTCATCCAGGCAGAGGGGCTCCCAGCCTGGGCACACCCAGGTGCTCTCAGGGCAGCACACAGGCCATGTGAAGGGTAAAGGGAGCCAGAGGAGGCCACCATGACCCAGCCACCCCCTCAAGGCTTCCAGGAGGGAGCTGGGGAAGGGTCTAGGAAGCGTCGGAGGCTCAGGGCAAGGCTAGGAGCCAGTATTGTCTCATCTCACTACAGGGCTATTTAACACAGTTCTTAGTGTGAATCCTTCTCCGGTACAGAGGACCCTGACACCAAAGACAAATGAGGCACCTTGGCCTCACAGCTCGGCTGGATGCAGGCTCATCTGGGCTATTCCTGGGCTCACTTGGCTTTGCTCCCACTCACGATTTTAAGGCACCTCTGTTCTCAGTGACACTCACCTCTTCTTCCATGAAATGCTTCACTAACCTCACTCTGTTCCATCTTCCCTTCAAGTCCCAACTGCAGCTACATGAAAGTATGTGTGGCCTAGTCAGATCCAGGATGCTCCCCCAAAACGTGTTCATAGTACGGTAGAAGAGACAGATCCAGAGACCCGAGAAGAGCAGCACATACTTTCTAAGGACTGACCCAAGACATCTAACTGGTCTCAACTTACTGGTGCTATGCTGTTTAAAACAATTGTCTTTTTTATTTCTGGAATAATTATAATACTATAATTTGTGTGTGCATGGGGGGGTTACTTTAGCCTGCTGCTCTACCATTTGAGATATACCTTCAATTCTATTTATGAATAAAAATTTACAAGTAACTTTTTTCCACTGAGTTATTTTATTTGTATGCATGATTTACATCTCTAGAAAAACAATGCCAGGAGCTAGGAAGGTGGCTCAGTGGTAGAGCACTTGCCTTGCATGCATGAGGCCCTGGGTTCGATTCCTCAGTACCACATAAGAAAAAAGAAAAAAGCCGGAAGTGGTGCTGTGGCTCAAGTGGTAGAGTGCTAGCCTTGAGCTGAAGAGCTGAGGGACAGCACCCAGGCTCAGAGTTCAGGCCCCATGACTGGACCTCCCCCATCTCCCCCCCCAAAAAAGAAAGAAAAACAATGCCAGGATTTCTCTTTTTTGTTGCTGCTGTTGGTGGTGGTGGGGCTTGAACTCAGGGCCTGGGCACTGTGCCTGAGTTCTTTTACTTAATGATAGTGCTCTATCACTTTGAGCTACAGCCCGGCTTCCAGTTTTTGAGTGGTTAATTGGAGATAAGTCTCAGGGACTCTTCTGCTTGGGCTGGCTTCAAACTGCAATTCTCAAGATCCTCAGCTAGGATTAGAAGTGTGAGCCACCGGCACCCAGTTTTCCCTCTTTTTCCCTCTTGTTTCTCCAGGGTCAATGATGCCAGCTGAGAACAGTACAATGGAACAGACTGATGTGAGGGGAGAGGCTATCCTGCCGTCTTCTATGTCTCTGGGCTGCACATCAGAACTGGGGCTGATCACCACATACTTGGAGTCGGCTGTGGGCTCACATCATCTCCCAGCTCTATGATCACTAATGATTTCACATTCACCAAAGTTACTTCATCATCTCCATCAGAAATGTGGACAATGACTGGAACAAGCACAGGCTAATAAGGACTTGGCATCTGCCTTTCTTTCAGCACTATTTTTTTTTTTTTTGCCAGAGACCAGGACTTGGCATCTGATGCTTTCACTCACTGGCTGGTGTTCTACCACTTGAGTCATTCCTCATATCCTACCTGACACTCTTGACAGCCCAGCCAGGAAACCCATGGCATCATTGCTGTGGCTCAGAGATGGTAGAAAGGCTTTGCGTCTGCCTCAATGGCACGCTATGAGATACAGTGCCAACTGTCAGCAGGACAGCCACATGTCAATATTTACAGCTCGTCTCTAGCTGCCATCGTTTAGATATTAACAAGTGATCACCAAGCACACATTTTATATTTTGTGGCATTGTTACTGTAACTAATAAGTCAAAGAACCAACATATATTAGATATATGTACTGTTTCTAAATACCACAACGAAGGATAAAATAGTATTTGGTAATTTTACTACATTCCTGTTACATATACAGGAAATCATAGCAATTATAAATTTAATCTGAGTAAAGTTTAAAACTATACCTTATAACAAAGGGCCTTTTTTTTTTTTTTGGTGCTGCCCTGAGGCTTTTAACTAGGGCTTAAGCCCTGTCCCCGTGCTTTTTTTTGCTCAAGGCTAGTGCTGTACCACTCAGCCTCAGCTTTATATCTAGTCTTTTGCTGGTTAACTGAAGATAAGAATATCAAGGACTTCCCTCTCTGGGCTTGCTTTGAACTGTGACCCTCAAATCTCAGCCTCTTGAGTAGCTAGGATTACAGGTGTGAGCCACCAGTGCGTGGTGATAAAGGGCCTTTAAGATGTGTGTGTGTGTGTATTTGTTGAAAAGGTAATTTTCCCTGATATTGAAAGCTGCTGAAGTTTTACAAATCTATTTTATTATCATTTACTGATCATTTTCCAGAGATGTCAAACTTATTGGTCTTTACAGAGAATTACCTCTTCCTCAGACTGCTCTTCTACATTCTCTCTCTTTTTTTTTTGGTTGTGGGGCTTGAACTCTGGGCCTGAGCGCTGTCCCTCAGCTCTTCAGCTCAAGGCGAGCACTCTACCACTGGCCACTTCTGGTTTTCTAGTGGTTTATTGGAGATAAGAGTTTCATGGACTTTTCTGCCTGGGCTGGCTTTGAACCGCGATCCTCAGATCTCAACCTCCTGAGTAGCTAGGATTACAGGCGTGAGCCACTGGCGCCTGACTTCTTCTACGTTCTCAAGCCTAAATTGAACATTTAAAATATTATTTAGCTGGACACTGGTGGCTCATGCCTATAATCCTAGCTATTCAGGAGGCTGAGCTCTGGAGGATTGTGGTTTGAGGCTGGCCTGGGCAGAAAAGTTTGCTAAATTCTTGTCTCCAAAATGACCACTAAAAAGCAGGGCTAGAGGCATGGCTTAAACAGTAGGCCACAGGGGCTGGGAAGGTGGCTCAGTGGTAGAGTGCTTGCCTTGCATGCATGAGGCCCTGGGTTCGATTCCTCAGCACCACATAAGCAGAAAAAGCCACAAGTGGCACTGTGGCTCAAGTGGTAGAGTGCTAGCCTTGAGCTGAAGAGCTGAGGGACAGTGCCCAGGCCAAGAGTTCAGGCCCCACGACTGACAAAACAAACAAACAAACAAAAAAGGGCCTCAATCTCTCCCGTCTTTCTGTCACTTTCTCTCATTTGGTCTCAGAATCTACTTTACCCGTTGTAAATGAAATAAAACTAAATCAATTTGATTTCAGTTAGCCCTCTCCTGGATACAGTTCATGTAAGGTATATTAAATAGGTAGGTTTCATTAGGTAGATGAGAACACCATGCACTATTCAGGCAGGAGAAGTTATTTACCAAACTGCTGCCCCTGCCACGCATGGTAGTGAGGCACGGCTGAAAAGGAAAGTGGGGGGGGGGAGGGCGCAACCCACCCCTGGGCCAGGAGGGGGAAAGGTGTGGCACACTGGATCCCAACAGGACCTCAGGGTCTGGAACCCTCCTAAGGTCAGATGGGAGGTATGTGACCAGAGGTGGCCCAGGATGTGACCTAGCAGGAGGGGGAAGGTGACTGCTTCCAGGTGTGCCAGTTACCTAGGTAACAGATACGGAGTGGAAACTTAGCCAAGAGGTAGGGAGGTATCCCTGTGCGGGCCTTACAGTTGCTTGCTTCATTCTTTAGCCTTTCCACAATCTTGTATTTTAGCCAGGAAACACAGCTGGGGTCTGGCTTATCTGAAGTGGTAAGCCAACTAGGTGTCCAGAGCTTCTGTACACCAAGGCACCTTAGCACGTGGCTTCTCTGCTTTTCTTCTGTCTATTCTCTAGTTTTTCCTCCATTATCAATACTTGTCTACCCTTTTGGTAGAATAACAACTTCCTTTCAGGTAACAGAAACTCTTGAGAGTACTTCTAATTTTTTTTCCCCCTTTCAGTGCTGGGAAACCAACCAACGGCCTCTTTACACAGTGGATACTCCCAGTCCCAAACAATGCTATTGGTATCTTAAATCTGCTCTTTTTACTTATGGGAGCTGGACACCCCTGCGTGTGGGCTGCACATGTGGAACCCTCTCCAAGGTTCACTCGTCTTCCTTGAATCGCATGCCTACACTGACAGGTCACTGTCATTTTCCTCTAGTACTTTATGAGGAGCTGTGCAAAGATCTCAATTCTCCAAGCCTGAAGCCTACATTGCCCACTTCTTCAAAGATCTACAAGGACATTACTCCAAAGGACAGAAAAGGTATGTGGTATTTGTTTCCATGTTCTGGAGAAACTCTTGTATTATATTTCCACTTTCAGTTCTGAGCTCTACCTATTGGCTTCTCTTCAGGGAAGTAGAGAGCCCATTTCCTCATTCTTTGCCTATTCCCTGCGTCCCTTCCATTCACTTTCCCTATACAATGCTTTATTCCCTAAGAAGTAACAAGTGCCCCCTTTTTTTTTCTTCTGCTTTTAAGTTTTTGGCAACTCCTTGCCAGTTGCCTAGGCATCCAAAGTTATGAAGAGTGTGTTTTTGGCCAGGCACTGGTGGCTCATGCCTATAAATCTAAGCTACTAATGAGGCTGAAGATCTGAGGATCACAGTTTGGAGACAGCTAGGGCAGGAAAGTTTGCCAGACTTTTACCTCTAATTAACTGCCAGAAAACCAGAAGTGGCACCATGGCTCAAAGTGGTAGAGTGCTAGCCTTGAGCAAAAAAAGCTCAGGGATAGGGGCTGGGAAGGTGGCTCAGTGGTAGAGCGCTTGCCTTGCATGCATGAGGCCCTGCGTTCGATTCTTCAGCACCACATAAGCAAAGAGAAAAAAGCTGGAAGTGGTGCTGTGGCTCAAGTGGTAGAGCACGAGCCTTGAGCTGAAGAGCTGAGGGATAGCGCCCAGGCCCTACGACCGGACCACCCCCCCACACCATAAAAAAAAAAAGCTCAGGGATAATTCTCAGTCCCTGAGTTCAAGAAGCCCCATGACTAGGGGCGGGGGGGGGGCGCGCTGGGGATCAGTGGTGGAGTGTTTGCCTAATGCATCCTGGCTGAGCTCCCCACCCTTTCCCTCTGCGCTGGTACTGGGGCTGGAACTCTAGACTCACTCTCTTGCTTGGTGGTCTCCTTGCGTGGTGTGTACTTGTAATTTCAGGTACAATGCAGTCTGAAGCTGGAAGAAAGTCTGAACTCTTTACAACTAGCCTGGGCAACATAGTAAGACACTATTTCACGAAGCCTGGTGCCAGTGGCTCATACCTATAATCCTAGTTACTCAGGAGGCTGAGATCTGAGGATCATGTTTTAGAGCCAGCCAGAGCAGGAAAGTGGCCATGAGACTCTTATCTCCAGTTTCAAAAAAAAAAAACAAAAAAAACCCAAAAGTAAGCTGAGCGCCAGTGGCTCACTCCTGTAACTAGGATTACAGGCGTGAGCCACTGACACCCTGCTTGTATTACTTTTGTTGGTGGTGGTAGTCGTGGGGCCTAAACTCTGAGTCTGGGCGCTGTCCCTCAGCTTTTCAGCTCAAGACTAGCGCTCTACCACTAGAGCCACAGCGCCACTTCCGGCTTTTTCTGCTTAATGTGGTGTGGAAGAATCGAACCCAGGCCCTCATGCATGCAAGGAAAGCACTCAACCACTGAGCCACCTTCCCAGCCTCAACATTTTTTTGGCCAGTCCTGAGGCTTGAACTCTGCTCAAGGCTAGCACTCTACCACTTGAGCCACAGCACTACTTCCAGCCTTTTCTATATATGTGGTGCTGAGGAATTTAACCCAGGGCTTCATGCATGCTAGGCAAGGTCTACCACTGAGCCAAATTCCCAGCCCCCAAAAGATAACATTCTGTGAGTTAGAAAGCAATAGTTGATTCCTACTTATAAGAATCCTGATCTAGCCGAGTGCCAGTGGCTCACGCCTGTAATCCTAGCTACTCCGGAGGCTGAGATCTGAGGATTGTGGTTCAAAGCCAGCTGGGGCAGGAAAGTCTGTGAGATTCTTTTTTTTTTTGCCGGTCGTGGGGCCTGAACTCTGGGCCTGGGCACTGTCCTTCAGCTCTTCAGCTCAAGGATAGTGCTCTACCACTTGAGCCACAACACCACTTCCAGCTTTTTCTGCTTATGTGGTGCTGAGGAATCGAACCCAGGGCCTCATGCATGCAAGGCAAGCACTCTACCACTGAGCCACTTTCCCAGCCCCCTGTGAGATTCTTATCTCCAATAAACCACTAGAAAAATGGACATGGCGCTGTGGCGCAAGTGGTAGAGAGCTCGCCTTGAGCTGAAGAGTGCAGGGACAGCACCCAAGCCCAGTTCAAGCCCCACGACCGATCAAAAAAAAAAAAAAAAAAAGAATCCTGACCTATAGTTATCATATTGCTGATGTGATCTCCAAGATATTAAAGAAAAAATTAGAACTAGAACTAGAAACTTTTTTTTGGGGGGGTCCAGTAGTGGGGCCTGAACTCTGGGCGCTGTCCCTCAGCTCTTCAGCTCAAGGCTAGTGCTCTATCACTTGAGCTACAGTGCCACTTCCGGCTTTTTTCTTTTTGCTTATGTGGTGCCGAGGAATCGAACCCAGGGGTCTCAGGCATGCAAGGCAAGCACTACCAGCCCCAAGAACTAGAAACTTTAAAACCTCCTTATTCCTCATCTATATGGACAACGGTCCCTCTCAAGTGTAACTGATATACAAATACACATTCCCCTCCTCCCACCTTCTTTTTGGTTCTGTGAGATTATAACCAGCTCCACCAGATACCGGAGGTTAGATTTTCTACTCTGGAACAACCTCACTGTGCTTGTAAGTCCATTCATGCCAGGATCACTGGGGGCTGGGCCCCTTAGGGAACCCTTTCACAAAGTGAGCCGTTCAGGTTGGATTTCCAAGGGACCAGGGTTAGGTTTCAGGTAACACTGTAAGTAATAAATGAGGGATCCGAATGAAGATTCCAAAGACTGGCTGTAAATGAGCATTCCAAATTCTCTGATGTGAGAGAAATACATACAAAATTTCAAGCTGACTTGAAATGAGTATTTTTGTTTTACTTTGGTGTTCGAGTCCAGGACTCTGCGCTGGCCTGGCAGGCAGGTGCTCCATCGCTTGTGCTGTACTTCCAGACTTTGTTTTAGTGAAGGTCTCTCTACTTTTGGTTTATAGTCTCACTTTTCTTTATTTTTTGCCAGTCCTGGGGCTTGAACTCAGGGCCTGGACACTGTCCCTGAGCTTTTTTTGCTCAAGGCTAGCACTCTACCACTTAAGCCACAGCGCCACTTCCAGCTTTTCCTGTGTGGTGCTGAGGAATTGAACCCAGGGCAAGCACTCTACCACTGAGCCACATTCCCAGCCCAGTCTCACATTTCTTGATTGGCTCAGTATGGAATTCAACCCTCCAACTTTACCTCTCCAATGTGGCAGCCAAGACAGATGAAAGCTACCACAACCAATTCTTTATACTGAGGGTGGGGTGGAGGACACAGGCTGGCTTCAAACCAAGAACCTTTCAGGAACCTCCTGAGTAGCTTCGATTACAGGTTGAGTTTGCTTTTAAACCTGCTCAGAAAGCCAGGCACCGGTGGCTCAGCCTGTAATCCTAGCTACTCCGTAGGTTGAGATCTGAGGATCTTGGTTCAAAGCCAGCCCTGGCAGGAAAGTCCCTGAGACCCTTATCTCCAATAAACCACTAGAAAACCGGAAGTGGCGCTGTGGCTGAGGAACTGAGGGACAGTGCCCAGGCCCAGAGTTCAAGCCCCACGACCGACCAAGAAAAAAAAAATAAAACCCTGCTCAGAAGTCCTCGCAATCAGTTATTACGTTATATTATCACCAAAATAGAATACTAAGGCTCAGTATAAAGTGAGCAGTGTGTGCGTGTTCCAGCATCTGCTACAGGAGCCCCCGAACAGAAAAACTCAAAAGAGGTCAAGAAGCCAGTCCAGTTCTAGGAGCTGCAGGATGTGCATCACTGGGGTCGGGGTGGGCCCCGGGGGGTCTCCGTGCCCCTCCGCTTCCAGCAGGGGCCGGGGAGGCGGCCACAGTCCAAGGCTGCGCCTCCCGCAGCCTCTTCTGAACGCACCCTCACCAGTGCTCCTAGGGAGAAGCAAGTAGGTGTGAATAAGGAAGAGCGCGCTGCCGCGGCCCAGAGCGGCTCGAAGTCGACCACGG